ATTATGATTAGCCCCTGGGAGGCCAGGAAGGATCAGTTATGTTGCTTGCTACAAGAAGTTTCCGTGGAATAAAGAAAGGTGTGCTTTGGTTTGCATTTAAGGACTCAGTATCAACCCCCGAGCTGCAGGCCTGGTGGGCAGAGATGGCCCTTATGACAAGCAGCCTTTCATGGTGGCCTTCTTCAAGGTGAGTGAGGTCCACGTGCGCACAACGAGATCAGCCACAGGTCGGCGCCGACAGCAGAGTCGCAATCGCTCTACCCAGTCGCAGGACGTATCCCGGGTCTCCAGTGCTTCAGGTAGGTTTGGGTAAAGCCTGTTTTTCCAAGAAGCCTTGTTGGCTCTCAGGCCTCAGTGAGAACAAAGGATGTGCGGATAGTTTCAGTTTGTGCACAGCATCTGCACAGCAAATACAAAGGCCTACATGTGCCTCATCATAGTCACCAATTATCTAGATGGGTTCCTAGGGCCATCAGAGGGGGACACTTGTTACCCAAAGATGGAGTCTGCGGGCTGAAGACATCCTGAGTGTTTTTTTTTTCCTTCAGAAAAGCATGCTTCTGTTTGGTAAGATTTCTCCAACTCTTTTTTCATTCATATAAATGTCCTGAGAGCACCTGGATTTTCTTCTAGTTGTATTATCCCTGGGAGGTTGTGATGTACAAACAAACTTCATACATTTGTATTATGGACTTGTATTTGTCAGTGTTCTTGGCTGGAAGTGATGGAAAGTCAGCTCAAACAACCCTCTGTGATAGATTTTATTTGTCCATTTAACTTGGAAGTTCAAGGGTTCCAGCTTTAGGCAACGGTTGCCTGCGTGGGCTCAGATGATACTGAGAATCTTTCTTTCTCTTTTTCTTCTTTCCTTTGTTGGTGGCATTCTCAGAAAGACTGTCTCTACATGGTAGTAAAGAAGGCAACCAATAGTTCCAGGATTTTATCACTGTTGGCAATCTCAACTTCAGAAGGAGAGCTTCTCTTTCATGGTTGCTTTAGCAGAAAGCCAGCTGGGGCCATGTGTTCACCCCTGGAGCTAGGTAATAGGGTCAGCCCCATTCTACCCGAACAGACAGGTTCAGAGGGCAGGAGAAAGAAAACAGCTCCCACTGCTTGACTCTCAATTCACTAGTTCTTCAGAAATGTTTCCTCCCACGCTGTGCCTTTTTAAAAAGTGGCATGGAAGATCACTCATCAAAACATGAAGGAAGAACAGGTGTTCCAGCTAACATAGCTTGTAAGTATGGAATTTAAACCCAGGTGTGTCTTACTTAAGGCCAGTACTTGCAAGTTCTGAGTTTTCTTTGGCTGTTTAAAGAGCCCAGGAATCCAGCATGAAGTTGAAGATCTGCTGTGAGATTTTCAGTCAGAGAACTTGCTTCTCTTTGTTACTACTCTGTGACTTTGGACAAATCTAATCCATTTGAGCTTCAGTTTACTCATCTGTTCAGTGGGGATGATTAATACTTGGTAGATTTGCTGGCATTAAATGAGAAGCATTTGATCTGGCTCAAAATAGTGCTCAAAGATTAGTTGCATCCAAATGTTGAAAGTAGGTTGTCAGGGCATATGTTAGCATCCTTGGAAAGCATGTAGACTACTTTTGGAAGATGCATTAATTGTTTCAGATGACTATTGAAAAATACCATCTTCGGTGGTCAGAAAGAGTTTTTGCAACTTCCCTAAGTACCAATTTGGGGGTCGGGGAAGGACAGAAGAAGTGTCTTCAGTTTAGGTTCAGACTTAATAAGCCATTTCTTTTACCAGTAACTTGGATGTGGAACTTGAGGATCCACCACCCAGTGTGATATGACATTTTGCTTCTTGTCATCTTGGTGTTTCTTGGAAGCACTGCACAGCGTGGGTGTTCCTGTGTTTACCACTAGAAACGGTCGGGGTTGGGGTTTAAAAAAAAAAGAAGAAATGATTGCTTTCCTTTATTCATTTCAGAGGAAGCCTGCTGAATAGAGTTAATAATCTCAGCGTTTTCCTCAGGGCATGATGGTGGGGTAGGTCTGCCAATGGTAGGCTTCAATTCATTAATGAACTGTGGTCAGTTTGGTCCTAGGACCTCAGACATGCAGGCAGCTCTCGAAATGCTGATTGCTTTTAAAATTAAAATTTCACTTGATTTATTCAACATCCCTCTCCCGCCCCTCCCCAATACACACTTGGATTTTTTTTTTTTTTTAATTGAGAAAACATGTTGGCTCTGATTTTGGTTTTAGCAGTGTCACCCAAATATTCTTTTTAAAGTTTCTTTCAACTTTTTTTTCCAATTTGATGAGCTTAAATTAAATATGAATATGGAAATTGATCTAATTCATAATAAGAATCAAGTATATCTGCTTTTTCTTGGTCTTCCCACTCCCTACCTCCCAACCCAGTATTTTCAAGTTTGCTTTGCTCCTGTCAGCAGTACTAAGGCAAAAGAGTTCATTACAAATACCTCTAGCCTCACCTATGTAAAGATCCTGACACCAAAGAAAGTATTACTACGAAGGATCCTCGTTGCCTCTCACTGTCTTCAAAGATCTGCTCACGCTGGTCTGAGAAATTGCTCATGTTAGGCCCACTGAAATGCTATGTTATATATTTGGCTCTTTCTTCCTTATTTATCCTTGCCATTAATGAGAGTGGACATGCAGAGGAAGAGATTGCTCTTGGAAAAGGGATTTCCAGAAAGATGGCCTGCTACTCCAAGAAATGGGCTGTCCAGCTTGTGCTTGCTTTCCAGGCTGCTGTGGGGCCAGATGTTGCTGAGCCTTTGTGAAACAGGCAGATGCTGTAGAGACAGAAAGTTGTGGCCTCTGGTGTGACTCCAGGCAGGCCTTTCCCCTTGTGAATCTTGCGGAAGGTTGAAGGAAGAAATTACTTTGCCTCTGCTGCCCCCCTTCTTCCACAGTGTGCTCCCAGGGAATTAATATTTCTCCACTGAAACCACCACCAGGAGAAGCCCACTAGAGACTGTCCTGCATCTGGGTAAAGAAGTTAACATAATTCATCAAATTGCCTGTCATCAGGGTGAAATATGGCAGGGAAATGTACGGCTATTTTTGGAACTGTGGACTGCTCCTGCCTGTGACGGCAGGAGCAGTCCACAACAAGGGAAAGGCCAAGAGCCCCGGCCACCTCCTCCTCACCACCCACCCAAATCTGCTCTAACATCTGTACTTGGCCTTTAAGCTGGACTTTCCAAATACTTGCACCAAACAGTGGGTTTGGACTGAAGTCTCCCTGGATGGTTTTCACTTTCCCTTGCTTCTCTGCAGCCGTCTGCTCCACATGAATGATGGATGTTGGCTGCGCTATACTTCTCCAGTGGGCTCGGATATCATCTGGACAGTATCATTTATCGTTTTTACATGTGTTTTACTAGTCTTGGTCCAAGCCATGCTGTGCAGCCCATTGGGAATTCTAGGGCATCTGTCAATTCTTTTTCAGCCTCCATTTCTACCAACCTACTGGTCTTGGAACATCCTGCCCCTGCAGTCTTTAGCTTTTATCTGGTACTCTCTTTCTACTTGCTGCCATTTAGCCTCTTTTATATTATTTTTTTTCTTGGGGTCCATTGTTTTGTCTTCTCGGGGACTGTGATAGCACCTGGCCAATCCATTATGAGGGCTGTGAACGAATGGCCTTGAGGAATGGTTCCATGTGACAGTTCTAATATTGATCTAGCTAATTTCCCAGGATCTCCCCAAGATGTCTTTAGGGAGTGGGTAGTTACTGCGATTTCAGGTCAGCTGGTGAGTTTGAGGTGTTCTGCCATGTCAACCAGCTGGCTGCTGACACTATGAATTAGAATTGCTCTTTCTTTTGTCAGATGATAGTTTTGAGACATTTTCTGCCACTTTTAACAATTCATGTAAAATTGGATTAGATGACTTTTAGGCTTCTTTCATCCTTGATGTTTATGTTGTCACCACTCAGCTCTGCCAACTGTCTATGAACCAGCAACTTCTCAAGACCCTGTCTGTCCTTTGGAATGAGTTCTTCAAATGCTACCTGTTAGTATTTCCTATGGTCAGTTCTCTTTCCATCTTTTTCCAATCCACCTAAAAATGTATTTTTAAGGAACTTGCGGGGAGAGGAATGTGGCTCTGGTACCTTTAGACATACTATTGACCTTCTTGTTAATAGTTCATATCTTCTGTCCCTTGAACTTCCAGTTGGGATCATTCAGTATGCTTCCAAGATGAGAATGGTAACCAGAATTCATCACTTGCAAAACAATGGTTTGGGTACTTTATTATGACTATGAAATCTTTTGCTATAGATTTCAGGGAACTCCACAGACTAGTGGTCTCATTCTCACCAATCCATGTGTCTTTGGCCTTTTAGTTCCTGGCAGGTGTCCATGTTTTGGTGTGCCAAAGCTGAGAGGACTGTTTATAGTTCTTCAAAGAAGTTGGGTATTTTAATATGTCATTTCGATCTTAAATTTTTAGGGCCTGCAGCTTGGCTTCCAGATGTCTCAGTCAAGAAGCAAAGGCTTGTTCAGGGCTTTCTAAGTGACACCAAGTCTTAATTCTCCACAGCTATAGAGGACATGTATGGCATCAGTGATTTGAAAGTTAGAAATGTTTCAAACGCCATATTTATACTTGACTCTCGTTTGCCATTAAGTGCCTTTAGGATAAAGGTTAGCAAGGAGTGAAACAGACTGGAAAGTTACCTTCTGCCCCATCCCTAGGTTCATCCTTGTGAATGTGCTAATGGAAGCAATGTTAAAAGGCAATAATAACAAGACCTAAACAGGTGCTACCAGGTGCCTGAGTAATTGCCCAACCACCAGCTCCTAAGAGTGTCCTGAAGCTAGAAGATTCAGTCTAGAAAGTGACAGGGGAACGGGTGTTTGGAGCACAGGAAGTTTTAAAGTTCAGTCTTCAAGGGAAGCCTTTGTCTGTTTTCAAGATACTTAGTTCATATTCTTTTATAATCAAGACAAGGCCTGAGAGGAAGCCAAAGTCCCACCCAGATTAAATGGAGCCTTATGAGATCTTGAAATCCTGGAGCAACAGAAGAATAAGACCTCTCTGTTCCTCTCGTGCTAACCATCCAGGTTGTAAACAAAATCTAGACTTTGAAACTTAAGCTGTCTCCTCTCCAATAAACACTTTATTGGATTATTGACATCAGAAATCAAGATCCCAGTGTGGTCCCCTTGCATCCTGTCGTGTCAGTGGCACAGGAGCTGGGCTTCTTCCAGCCTGTTCTCAATGGCTGTGTTGATTCTGTGGGGTATGTGGGAGCCAGAGACTTGTTTTAGATAAGACGAGCAGATAAGACTTAGAGA